GTAAAGGCTCAAAAAACTTTAACTTTACTAAAATCATATAAAATAGACTTAATTCTTTTACAAGAAACAAATCTCAAAAACACGGCAACAAGAAAATTTTTCTCACAACAGTGGAGATACGATTCGATTTAGACTGCCAAAACAGCTATTCTAGCTGGAAAAGCAAACATCAAGTTTGTTGAAACCTAAGTTTTACACAATGACCAGATAATTTCAACCAAACTAATATACAAACACTGCCAATATGTGGTCACAAATATTTATGCTCCTCCAAGTCATGAAGACAGATATCAATTTTTTAGCAACTGGGCTCCTACACTAGATACCAATGCATTAAATATAATAGCAGGTAACTTTAATACAAACCTAGACCCCAAAATTAATCATATCAGCCAAGCAGCAATATAAAAAGATAACTCACGAGAGATACTTCAAGAACTTTTAAAGGATTTTGTAGATACAGCAAGCTTCTCGAAAGATGACCCCTTTCTGACCTTCTATCAGAATACACAGAGCAATCAGAAAATGGCTATCCGATTGGACTATATATTTGTAGATACCAACTATGGCTATCTCAACTTTAAAACCCAAACTTGCTTTGGTAACTCAGATCACTTGCTAGTGGAAAGCTAAATTTTAAGTAAATTCAGACACAAGTCTGCATCATGTTGGCGATTCGATAGGAAATGCTAGTCTATACCAGAAGTAGAGACAGAAATAAAAGGAATAATTAAAGATACTCAAGAGATCCAAGACTGGGATCTCTACAAATGTGCAATACAATTAATAATCAGGGCTTATAAACCCAAACCTATACCAGAAAGAAGAATTCAACAACTTTACAAAAAGCTAAATAACCTCAACAACAAACTGGCCTAAAACTCTGATCAAAAAGACTTTAACCTTCTCACTAAACACACAAAAGCTCAAATTCAAGAAGAATTAGTATCTCTTTTTGAAAAATGGCAAATAAGGTCTAATGCAAAATGGATTGAAGAAGGAGAGAAGTCTATAAGATACTTCTTTTCACTCTATAAATCCAAGCACACAACTTCAAGCTGCTTTAAAATACGGGATCCCAATAATACAAATTTAGACAAACCTCTCGAAATTCTTGAATATATCAAGACCACTTATCAGGAAATATACAAGGCAGAAGACTCTGACCAGGAGGCAACAAATGAGCTAACACAGAATCTTCCTAAAGTCACTGAAGAACACAACATACAGCTGATTAAACAAATAACTGAGGAAGAAGTAAGCAGTACAATAGATGCACTGCCTTGTAACAAAGCACCTGAAGCAGATAGGCTCATCTACAAATTCTACAAAGATATGAAAGAGAAACTCCTTCCCTTTCTAACAAAACTCTTCAATTATGTACTTAACTCAGGGAATATGCCTAACTCCTAGAATAAGAGTATAATTACTCTAATCCTAAAGAAATCAGGCAACCTAGAGGACATTAACAATTGGAGACCTATTTCCCTTGTAAACAGTAATGCTAAAATCTTTATGAAGATTATGGCCAATCGCATCAACCCAATATGTGCTCGCCTTATTAGCTCAGCACAACAAGAGGAAGATCCATAACAGACACCACTTTAGATTTTCTAACAGTTCTAAGAAACCAATCTGACCAGTCGAAGCTGCACTGACTCTTGTTACTAGATCAACAAAAAGCATTTGATAAAGTTAACCACTCTTATTTGCAAACAGTCCTTCAAAAAATGAACTTTGACCCAAAATTCACTAGAATCGTTGACACACTTTTTTCAACTTAACAAGCACATATTACAGCAAGTGGTAAAATCTCAGAACCTTTCAAAGTTGAGTGAGGGGTTAGACAAGGAGATCCATTATCTTGACTATTATATATAATAGCTTTCAATCCTCTCTTAGTAGCTCTACAACAAAACATGCAAAGCATTAACATTAACAACTATGCTTTCAAACTAGCAGCATATGCAGACGATTTGACAGTGGGAATCAGCTCCACAACAGACTGGGATAGCTTCACAAATACTATTAACAAATATAAAAAAGCATCAAATGCTAAGATCAACAAACACAAGTCTATTTTGATCCCACTTACAGAAAATGATCGCAAAACTCAATTAAAAGAAGCAGAAATACTGCAAGTACATGACACTGATAAACCTCTAACAATCCTGGGATATGAAGCAGATATTACTGGCAGCCTATCCAAAAATATTTGGCAAAAAATGGTCAAAAAAATCAAAAAAAGCATAGACCACCTCTCAATGTGAAACCTCTCGCTTAAAGGGAAAATTTTGGTAGCCAAATCACTACTCATCTCTAAAATCTGGTATTTAGCCTACTTGCTACCACCTAGCAGAAAACAACTTAACGAAATCAATACAATCATTTCAAACTGGACCAAAAACAAATCAAAGATGCTTCCCTGATACTCAACTTTTCAACTAAATCGAGAAAAGGGAGGACTAGAAGCTCCAGTTTTAAAAGATATACTAGACTTAAGACTGGTCTTAGTTTGGATTAAACTCCTCTCAAGCAATCACTTTTGGGCCAAAGCTGAAAGAAATACTATTCAAACAGGAATTCAGAACAAAAGAAGTATATCAATAAAGGCAGTACTCACTGCACAAAATATAAAGCTAAAAGGATGGCCTGACAGATGAAAACCTTATCTAAAGGCATAGATTAGAACTAAAGAACAAGTAGTAGCAATGAACAATTGGCCTTGGCCTCTAGAAGACCTAAAAATAGAACAAGCCACAGCTGACAATTACTCAGTTAAGATATGTACAGAGGCCCTACGCAAGGAACTACCACCAGCTCCTACTTTGTTGCTTAATGCAGAAACCCCACAACAGGAGTTAAGCGTTTGGATCAAGATGAGATCTATCCAGAACAAGAAAAAGGATATTTTCTGGCGATTGTTACATAGAGCACTCCCATTAGGGTACCGTTTAGATCATATCTCACAGAATCTAAATGCTAACTGCCCAAGCTGCTCTCAACAACTCAAACTATCAAACACTTTGTAATTAAATGTAATATTAGCCGAAGTATATGGGAACAAGGATACAAAATGCTAAAAAACTATACCAAAGATCCACAACCAAACTTGATGAAGGAAATTTTCCTGGCTACTAACATTAGAAACCCCAAGAAACACCATGCAGCAATCTGGGTTCATATCCATACAATTTATGAAATTTGGCTTTGATATACACAGGCCAAATGGGAAACAATCTAATCCCAGAGAACATAGCTGTTAGTTTATCAAAAATGAGGTTACAAAAAGAAATCAAGCTTTTACAAAAGATAGTCAACAAAAAAGGTTGCCCTAGAAGGAAAAACCTAACAATATTCTAAAATTTATAAATCTCAATCTGTAAATACGTATATTACTTTGTAAACAGAATAATTAAATAAAGTACGCTTAGATGCGGTTTAAAAAAAAAAAAAATATGAACATTCCAAAATAACACAAGAATGCATTATTTTATAGCTATATGGCAGTTAAATGTTTTTTGCAGTGTTATTTGTTTAATTGGCCTTTTTTTATCTTTAGGTATTAATTAAAATAATATATGATTGAGTAAGCAACAATTTATATAGATAATATTATAAACTGAAATATAAAAAAAGGTTAATGTGTTCTTGCAAAAAGTATTAACAAATACTTTTCTCTATCTAATCCAAGTGTATTCTAATGAAGATCCAAAAAAATCAGCATAGTTTCTTCTAAAGTGTCTCTGTTATACTTTTCTTCTTCAGGTTCAAGATCATTATTACCAAGATCTAATAATGTAGTGTTCTTGTAAAGTGTTACTGCTAGCATCATTATTCTTCTAATCCAAGATATTATTACTAGAATCTGAAGAAGTCTTTGCTGTATACTTGCATAGTACATCTGCTAACATTTCTTTTCTCTTGGATTTAAGCTTGTTTTAACTGAGAACAAACTTTTTCAGTATAGCAGTAAGATTGCGACATTAGATTAACAGAAACATTTAAGTTAGCTTTAATATGCAAGCTTTAAATATTTTCAGACCTTGTGACTTTTTTGTATAAAGAGTTGATTCCAAAGCATTGATTGTAAGAGTAGAAGTTTCTTAACTTCGGTTCATATAGTTGTAGACCTGTTACAAAAAAAAATGTTAGCCAATAACCAATCAAATTTCATAAATCCCTAACTGTATAGAACAATTCAAACATTACCAAATAAAGCGCTATCGTCGATGACCAAATTTGGTATATTCACCGACTGTACTCTCTTATTAATATTTTCTTTAAATTTTAAAAAATTAATTTTTTTTTTACGCATTTAAGCATACTTTATTTAAATCTACAAGTTAAAGTACATATTTACACAGAATATTTGATAAAATTAATTATACGTTTAGCCTTGTTAGGCCTAGTTTTTAAGTTTTGATAAGCTAATCTATATAGAAGATTGATTTCATATCTAAGTCTAATAGTTATGACACTTGCAATTACTTCTTGCGGTATTAAGGAGCTGCCCCACCTTGCTTGAGTATACCAGCACCAAATTTCATAAACTGTTATTATATGAAGCCAAGTAGCGGCTTCTCTTTTCTTTGTATTTCCTATATTAGTTGCTTGGAAGATTTCTTCAAGTATACTAGGTATGGGTTCATTTCCTACTCCTTTAAGTGATTTATATGTAGTTTCCCAGAAGTGTTCTATTGTTTGAGTAACATAGGGGCAGTTCGGGCAATCCCCCAAGTTGTTTTAGTCAATATGAACTAAGCGGTAGCCTAGTGGAAGTGCTCTATGAGTTAACTTCCAGAAGATATCTTTCTTTTTATTTAGGATCCATTTTGTTTTTAGCCACTTATAAGATGTATGACTCTTGTTTTGGTTGTCTCTGTTTTCATGAGGTTTTTCGGTTGTTTTGTACCAGCTTGATAGAGCTCTTTTAACTGTGAATTGTTGTCCATCTATGTCGTTTATTATAATTTGTTCGAGTGTCCATGGCCAGGAGTGAGTCGCACTGATCCTACCCTTGAACCTTTTCCAGGCTGTAACATAAGGTTTCCAGCTGTCTGTCCATCCTCTAGTTCTGCAGGGTACTTGAGATAATGCTTCTTTAGGAGTTAGCCTTCTTTTGTTCTGAAGCATTATTGTTGCTTTTTCCCTCTCTGTTATAGCCCAAAAGGAATTACTCGAGAGAAGTTTGATCCAAATTGATAATAGCCTAGCATCGAGCATATCTTTAAGGATTGGAGCTGATAACCCTCCTTGCTTTGTACTGAGTTGAAAGGTTGAGTATTGCGGAAGCATTCTTGAGTTCTTCTTTATCTAATTTATGATTAAGGTATTAATTTCGTTTAGTTGTTTTCTTGTAGAAGGTAGTAGGTAGGCTAGGTACCATATTTTAGAGATAAGTAGTGTTTTTGATGCTAGGATTTTTCCTTTAAATGAGAGGTTTCTCTGTGAGAGGTCCTGTATTTTATTCTTGATTCTTTTAATCATCTCAGACCAAAGAGTCTTTGCCGGATGTCCTTCTATATCTACAGTATAACCCAG